CGAATTCCATTACCCGCATCATCAATTACGACAAAGTACCAAGTGACGGGAGTAGTACGCTTCACATTAGCCATGAGTTCGGACGTAGGGATAAATGATTTTTTACCTTCATACTTGGAAACTCGCGCGCATGCATTGACGAAGCTTGTAAGATAAACTCAAAGCAACATGTACATTGATATTAAAAACATATCTATCAGGCTGGACGATGACGACCCAAGAGTCGTGGCACAATAAGCACGTGGCTGTCGTGAGACATACAAAGATATACAAATAACCATTGAACAGCTTGTCGCTTCAAACCGTGTAATTTATATAGATTTTTAACGCAATGTATCGTTGGCAATATCAAAACGTGTTTCGCTTGAATACGAGGGCGGTGGTAACGAGCAAGTGTCACGAGCAAGCCTTGACAAAAAAAAAATAAAAAAAAAAATAATAATAAATGAATAATAAATGAATAATAATAAATGAATAATAATAATAATAATAATAATAATAATAATGATAATGATAATGATAATGATGATGATGATGATGATGATAATGACGATGATGATGATGATGATAATGACGATGATGATGATGATGATAATGACGATGATGATGATGATGATAATGACGATGATGATGATGATGATAATGACGATGATGATGATGATGATAATGACGATGATGATGATGATGATAATGATAATGATAATGATAATGATAATTAATTATATAATAAAATAAATGCAAATAATTAATTAAATAAATGAATACAAATAATTAAATAATTAAATTAAAATACGAATAAACGATTGAGAGAGAGAGAGAGAGAGAGAAATAGTGAGGCAAATCACCAAGCTCCGACGCGTTGTTATTTAAAGTGAGCATCGGTTGCAATGTTTTGCAATTACAATTATATATATATATATATATATATATATATATATATATATATGTGTGTGGGGGTTTAAGAATTCGAGTGCATTTAACGAGACAACAAAGGGACGCAGCGATTGTGAAAACGTGTCTGCTCTTACACACATCTAGTTTGTATCTTATTTTGACTATCACAGTGTAAACAAAAGAAAATAGTTCACACGACAATAAGGTATTGATTAGTTGACGGGAAAGGAGGTAATGTAAAATATAAATACAAACCAAGTAAACGTTATTATATTTATTATATCATGAGAGTCATCGTATGATTGTTAGTAAGAACGATTTAGTCAAATTGCGATTATCGAAGGGTATTACGAGAACGGGATGGGTCGAAGTAATAGCCGAGGTCGAGGAGAATGACGTTATTTAGGAAAAATACAAACAAATATAGTGACGTGAAATAAGGAAATTAGTGTGCTATTGTATTGTGTTAAATGATAGTGGTAGGGTACGATCGCTCCCAAGTGTGGATGAGAAGGTGTGCGTGTATCGGATGCGTGACGACTGTAGGTATTAGTGCGATCGGAAGTAATCCGACGAGTTCACGTGACATACCAAAGGATATAATAGTTTACCCGAATATTCATTATTTATTATTTATATTTACTTAGGCGTCTTGAGAATATGAAAGACGCGATTATAAAGACGGTACGATAAAACAGTACTACGACGAACGAATGATGGATGTTTATGATGATAATGATTATAAAGAAGAAGACGAAGAAGATAATGATGATGATGATTATGATGATAGTGACAACGGCAACGACAATGATAACGACAACGACCACGACAACGACAACGACAACGACCACGACAACGACAACGACAACGACAACGACGAAGACGACGATGATTATTATTATTATTATATTAATAGCTTCTTTTTTCTTCTTCTTCTTTCTTTTTTTCTCTCTCTAATTTATTTGTTTTTAATGCGTAGAGAAAAAGTGCAAATGCCAGGATCGAGTTGTCGATATTCGTTAAACCTCTTGTAAGCGACGATAATGTTATAATAAACGTTGAATAAAGCGATCAACATTTATTCTCAGAGAATTAATTGTTTATAAGACTGTATAATTTGTTCGAGGTCCAATCGCGTCTCCTTCGATGAGAAACTATAAAGGATACCAAATTCATACAACTGGATTCTGGCATAATGTGTAGCTATGTAATAGACACATTGACGATCAAGGCGTGAACAATTGTAAACTATTGTAAACTACAATGTTACTACGTTTTACGAAGAGCTTATTGTAGTGGAGAATTATTAAACAGAATTTTGAGTCGTGGAGAGACGGTATTGAGTGTAGCACTTAAATTCTTTACACTTTTGCACGAGACGTGTGTTGTACTTTGATTGATCGATTAATCAATATGTAATTAACATTTTATTACTTAGTAATTAAACTTAATTTATTTACAATAATCGTATAACTTGTGTTATGCCCTTGTTAATTGTTTGTTTTAATTTTGGATTAACTCCCATTTTTATATACGAATGTGCAATCAACCGCCTTGTAAAAATGACTGGATGTGAAGCATCTTATTTTATTTATATAATAAAACGCCGCGAGGTTTAAACATTAATATTTGAGGATGTTGATATTTTTCAAAATCTCAACGATCTTTTATATCCATTAGCAATTACGACCATTATTTTTCATCTTATATTTTTCATCGACAAGAGCTAATAAATTGAATATTTAATTTAATGTTGACTGCGTGTTTTTACAGACGTTTCGCGCTCTTCATTTTCCATGTGGGGGTGCAAAACATGTATTACCCAAAAATTGTAAACACGTACTTATAGGCTAGATGTTCCTTTGTGTTTAATAAATTTTTATATTAAATCTACATCTTACAATTTAGACATTTTCTTAAAAATTTCGATAACATCTCGTACATTTCTTTTACCACTCCTTTACACGACAAACATCTTCTTCGTCAATAATATACACATACGTATGCATACCCATACATACCCATACATACGCATACATATATATATATATATATATATATATATACACACACACACACATATGCATGCACATTCATATACGTGTATATACGTGTATATAAGCAAAAGAATAAAATAAAAGAGACATTCAAGCTATTGTCAAAATTAGAAAAAAAAAATTACGGATACGTAATTTGTATATAATTTTGTACCGTCGGGTAAAGAAATACGGTAACCTTTTATATAAATCCAAATTCACTCCACAAAGTCAGAATTACAACAAATATTCCTCAATAAATTAGTTAACAACGGAGATGAGCAGTGCCAAATTTGAACGTGTACCTTAATTAAGTGACGTGTGCCAATAATGATTGAGAGAGAGAGAGTGAGTGAGAGAGAGAGAGAGAGAGAGAGAGAGAGTGAGAGAGAGAGGGGTGGTGGGTGGGGGGACTTTTAAATGAAATGCCAGCAAATAAATTTTATTAAATTTTGGTATTTTCCATTATGTGAAAGAAAATTTTAACCTTTCTCATTAACAAGTATCATCATCAGACCAAAGAGTATCTTGAAAGGAAAATGATTTTTCATTCGTCTAACTAGCCTCCATCGATGCATTTATAATTAATTCCTTTAGGTGCTCGAAACACTATTATTATATCTCATGAATATTTTTCACGTAAACGGCAACATACCACGCATAACATTATATAAGTATAATTTATAATAAAAGTAAGCAAATCCAGTAAAAATGTTTGTGAATACAATGAAATTATATCGTTTTCTTTTTTGTTTCAATTTAGAATTTTATTAACAATAAGGATGGTGATGCGATATATAAGAAAATAATTCTTTCATAAAAAATGAATAAAATAAATCGGTATTTGATGAGTACGTGAAATGTTGAAATTGTTTTAAATTCTGCGTGTATGGAAGACTCATTAATATCACAAATGATATAACAAACTTTCGTTCAACCTTTATTCTCGGTATTATTAAAAGTAATCGATAGCTTTGTAAGCATCAAATTCAGAATGTTTTTATACATTACTTTGTTTCTACATTATATGGAAATAATTTATATTAAATATACATTAAACATTATGTGGCTGAGTGATTTTCTTATTTACTTACGTTTATATCTTTCATTCAATTATTAACGCAATTGAAGGCACACGCACAAACATATTTACAATAGCGGTCAATTTCTGTATTATTTTCTTATCTTTATTACCTACATTATTCAGTGATATTTTATGAGGGTTCGTAAACATTAATTATTTGCTTGATTTTGTTGCTCAATTTAATTAGTTAATTGGCTACGTTTGCGTGTGTGTATTATGGATAAGATAATAAACAATGATGATGATTTCCATATTGGCTGTTTCAATTCGGCATTATGGAATCTGTAATAACGTAGTAAAATCTATTACTCTATTACCTCAAATCGAGTCTTTAAATCGATCGACAAAGATATGTAATATAGTGCAATAATTATAGTTATCATCTCTATTTTGTTTGGTGGAATTGAACGGTTAAGAATTCCAATTGTGACTCGTTCTCTTCACAAACGTGCCATTGGCAAAACATATTTGTACAATAAAATGCAATTACAGCAAAAAAAAAAAATAATAATAATAACAACAACAACAACAATAAACAAGATACATTTGTTTAAAATAACGTTTATTCATAATTTCAATATGTATAAAATATAAACCATTTATCATTATTAAAAATATCACATTTTCAGAAGTTCTTTAATAATTAATCGCTTGATTTGTTTAAAATTTTTACTTTAATATATTTATTTTACATGACCAGCTTTCCAATGTACGCTAAAAAAAGTATAAAAAAAAAAAAAAAAAAAAAAAAGCTATTTAACGTTTAATAGTTTTGTGACGTTTTCTTTTCTTTTCTCCATGCAATTCTTAATAACTAATAACTACGTTTGAGTGCATTTGTACAGTGATGAGAGATAGCTAATTTACAATGTATTTGCGCTAATATTTCAGAAATATTATTACATATAAGATTATTAATATCGTTGTGCGCCTGTGTGCGTGTGTGCTCATTTATATTTTCAATATAAAATTATAAATTGTTGTTTAATTGTGAGACAGTTGTAACCAGCCACTAGGACTTCTTTCTACAGCCTATGGACTCGCTAAAGAGTTTTATATTATTCTTGATTATAACCTCTCGTTCTCGACTTTTAAAAACTGATTGTTTTCTCTCTCTCTCTCTCTCTCTCTCTCTCTCTCTCTCTCTCTCTCTTTTCATTAGTCCATCAATCGGGGAAAATAATGCTGCAGAGTTGATCATCTTCGAGGCATTGAAGTATTGCTGTAGTGCCAAGGTTAAAGTGAGCCACGACACCGCCGTCGATAACCAATCCGCCTTCGTAGCATTGCGATCTCACTGTTAACTCATCGCAAAAGCCACGATAATTTATGTGTGTTGGTAATGGCCAAATGTGCTTCACAACCATATCTCGAATGACGTAAGCTAATTTAAGCTCCTCTGGATAATTAAGAAGGAGAAATAAAATTAACGTATTGTTTATATTCCTTTTCTTTTGGTATGTGTCTTCTTAGGTATACGTGTGCGACCGTAGGTTCTTAATATGCCTTAGGGTTTGATATTTATCCAATAAGTCGATTGAGGTGAGATGGAGACGAGGGAAGATTCGACGATAAAGGAGGACAAAAAAATGTGGCTTGACTCGGGTGGAATGGAACTCGGGGAAGGTTTTGGGGCTCAAATTTACTCTCAGCCCCATCGCCAAATGACAAAATGTCAATGTGCAGTGGGTTCTCGTAAGGTAATCGTCGAGGGAAACAAGATTACTCTCCCATAAACGCAAACGTAATACAAGAACTGTACATACCTGCGGAATACTGCAGTCCTGTGTTAAAATCAAAACAAATTTTCTTTATTTCTTCGTGGGAGAGGGCCTTGTCGTACTTGACCATAGACAGTACATCTTTAACCATTTGTGGATTTAGATAATTGATCGTTCTGTACCAGGAGGTGGAACCCGTTCCAGTAGTTACGCACATACCGGAGCTCTTTACTCTTTTGAATCCTTTGTCCTTATCGATATTGACATAGAGGGTGCTCATCCGTGCCGACAGACACTCGCCTATGAAAACCTAGATGGATAATTACAGAGAAATATAAGAATCGTTGCATAATTTCATGACTGTAGTGTATGTTTCAGTTTTATTAGACGAGAGCTTATACATAAAAATGTACATATAATTTCGCCTCTACGTACAATATATGTATACTTTCATTAAGTGGAAGCTAAGCGGCGCAAACTCTAGAGAATTCTTTGAAGCTTGTACGATTAGAGAGACTATTTTTCTATGTCAATGTTCTGTTAACACCCGTAAACTTGTCAAATTGTTACTTGTCCGGCTTGTCGAACTGTAATCCGTCTCGAATGGGCAAAGTCAAGGATGATTGCATCGACGTTAAAAGGAGCTCGGTTTATCAGGTTTCGGGTCGACGATAGCTACTTACAAAGTACAAGAGAAATTAATATAACAAAGATAACGACCAATGGACTCGCCCATTCGCTCGCTCGTCTACAAGCAATGACAATAATTCTACGCGATCGATATATTTATAATCGGTGGCTTGCCAACGATGCCTATAATATTGAACTTACTTCGTTAAGAGCCAGCCAAGGTAACGGCCTTTCCTTAGGCAGTTCGCTTCCCTTAGGTTTAGTCGCCTCGTAATGGCTTTGGTAGAAACTAAAAAAGACACGAGTTTCATGACGTTAACATTTAGTAGTGGATAGTTTGACTTGAATAATGCTCGTGAAAATAGGAATATAGAAGAAGCGTTGGGAGTACGTTTTAGATTTATTGAGAGAACGATGGGCGTGCAGATGAAAGGGCACCTCCCAAATATTATCACCGTACAGCGTCGTTCTAATTCTACTCCTCATGAGATACTTAAACTCTCCAGCTCCGAGTCTCTCAAATATCTTTGATATGTCGTTGGTGTATTTAGCGGATAGTATTAAAAATCCTTCTGAATACTCTGGATCCGAATTAATACCAATTATAGGCTTGGATTTGTCGGCAATTAAATTGGCAGCCTGGAGGAAGGTGCCGTCGCCACCAACCGACAAAATCAGGTCGGCCCAAGCGACGCTCTCATCATCTATATTATATCTAAAATTAGCATACTGTATAAAGGGAATAGTAGGCGAGTGGCACAACAGTCACCGGCCAAGCCTACCTGTCCCTTATTCGACACTCAATGTTCAAACGCTGGAGGGCCTCGAGCGTTCTCATCAGAGTGTCCTTGTTCCTGAGATGTCCCGACAAAATGGCATCGTAATCAGCCCCAATCGCAATGAGTCGACTCTTCAATCGATCCTCGTTCAGATGGGGACTCACCTGCTTCTCAATTTGATACCTCGAGATCTTCGTCAGAACGAGGACGCGCTCCGGCACAAAAGGGCATTGACGGCACTCGGCTACCCATCGACGTCCCCAAACGTGCTGGTGCGATTGGAAAATCGATCGAGCTCCTGCGCAACGATAAGCAATGGTAATTTAGATGGGGCGAGGACATGCCTCGGGCACTCCGATCGTCCATACCTGGAGAAGGAGTCGCCTCGCGTCCCACGTCAATCCCACGTCAATCCCACGTCAACCCCACCAATTAAACGGATCGACATGCATGGGAATGGGAATGGGAATATAAGTCGTAACTACTCACTCTTAGCTCCTCTTCTAAGATGTGCAAACGCCGTCATTATTAAAATGGAGTGTCAGTGCATGGGTATCGAGTGGCGTAAATGTCTTTCCACGGTGTCTCCCCTACTTACTGCGCCCAACGTAACTTTTATTCGATCGAATATTTATTCGACCTTAACCTTAACTGCTTAGCAGCATTAGCAGCAGCAATGTTGGCCATTGATTGGGTGGACGCGCGATATTTGTGAAACTTTGGCGGTGTTTTGGGAGTGGTGGGTTGGATTTCAGGGTGTGGGGATGTCGCGTGGATCCTTAATGAGCGTTGGACGGCGGTAAAGACGCGGGTAAACGGGTTGGATCAAAGTACGTTAATTCGTATATTCATGGGCGATCTCGACTTTGTAGCCGGCAAATCCCGAGGATTGAGATAGAGCGATGCGCGCAATTAGCCGATTTAAGGACGGAAGGGGAGCGTTCGAAACTTTAACCAACTAGGATTAACTCTTTATTGCGCGCGAATCTTCTTTCCCGACAACCGGCCAGCTCGACGCGACTCATCGAATCGATTGGGGCCGCGGGAGCAGAAGCAACACCGCAGACCAGCGCCAACGAGCCTCAACGGTCACTTTCCCCGGTTCGTCCTCTAAACGTCTCAGCCTCTCGCTAAACAACATTATGCGTTACTCTTGATTCTCTCGTGCGAGATGAAAGAAATTAACAAAAAGTTGTCGGTACGACGTGCGGGGGCGACGATAAAAATTTACGATTCATCGATTGACTGCGAGTGTGAAGAAGGCCGTTTTTTACAACGTTGATCTACCGTTTATCTACCGTCGATAATAACAACGCGGTGCGTTGGTAATGCAGCTCGCTTCAACGTTCGCGTTACGTCGCGTTAACGGAGCAGGAGGAGTTTAATAATAAATAGGCCGTCGTCGCTTATGGGTCCAAGTATAAAGCCAAATTATTATTCCAAAGAATCGCATTTAAAGATGAAATGAGTACTAATGAAATGGCGTTTCGGAAGGGGGTGGGGGAGTGAACAAAAAACTTGTAGAAAAAAAAAAAAAAATTATTCAATACGTTTGCTTAATTTATTATATGCATCGAGGATAGCAATAGGAAGAATAATTTGAATAAACGACATTGACGGGCGCATCCAGGACGAAGGACGAATAATAAGGGGATTGTAAACAAACGTCTATTATAATGCCATGGTAAGACTGAAATTAAAAGACACTTTTTTTTTTTTTTTTTTTTTTTTTTTTTTTTTTTTTTACACGCTTCGCTTACACTTTATTAATTCATTTGCAATACATTAATTAAGTCTGTTTAAATAGCAATGTTTTGGCTACCTAAAGTGAGCCGTCGTTTAAACTATAGACAATCATAATACCTCTAAATTCATCGCTTTTTCGCCCGCGCATTTCGTTTCGTTACTTTTATCATTTATTTTATTTGTTTATCGTTATCGAGAATTGATACGGTCAACTTCGCTATATTATTAATATTACACTATATAATGTATCATAAGATCGCGTAAAAATTAAAATTCGTATAAAAAGCGTCGTTATTCGTGAGCCAACGATTTAGTTGAGCTAGGTTTTTTTTTTCCATTTTTTTCCATTTTTTTTTTTTTTTAAATAAGAGTTGATCCTTAAAAAAATTAGTTTCATCTCTTACAACTGTTGGTACATCATAATGTTACTTTACAGTACCCTAATGTATATGTGTCATTCGTATCTCACGGACAAAACTATATATTTTGAAATTTTCCTGAATCAACGCAATACTGCACATTGCTACGGAACAATTTTTACAAAAGAAAAATAAATAACTTACACAAAGACAGAAAACAATTAAGTCTATTTTTTGCTCTATCGACCAAATAGATTTTCGCTCTCAAACATAAAAGTAGTTAGTACAATGGATTAACTTATTGCTTTATCATATTTATTGGTGACATTAGTAAATTATAAATCCATTGACTTTTATCAAGACGCAAGAGGAACGAGAGAGAAAGACAAAAAAAAAAAAAAAAAAAAAAAAAAAAAAAAAAAAAAAACAACGACAACAACCAAACACCATCTCCTCTATCGCTCGCTCGCTCACACTCAACTAGCACTTAAACTCTTACACTCCCCTCTCCCCACCCAACCCTCTCGCAAATCCTTTACAAGCGCACACACACACACACACGCGCGCGCGCGCGCTCTCTCTCTATCTCTCTCTCTTATTATTTTTTGTCATTTGCCACTTCTTACGGCTGAATTGTTTATTTTTTCTTTAAGAGTGCAAATAGCTTTTATATTATCTACGATCTTTGTTATACATATCATTATTACAAGTTTAATTGAGAAGTCATTTACATCGATTACATACAAAACAAGTTTTAGTTGAACAGTTTTGATGCTCGCACACTCACTCACTCACTCACTGTTTCGGAAAAGTCGCAGATCAACGCGCGAAGTTGTTGAGTAAAAATTTTACAAAGTTTACAAATCACATAGAAGCTTGAATCGATATAAAAAAGAAAAATAACTTTGAGCCATGCATCTCTATCTCTATCCCTCTCCCTTTCTCTATACACACATAATAAATATATATATATATATATATATATATATATATATATATATATATATATATATAGTTAGATAGTTAGATAGATAGATAGATAGATAGATGGATGGATGGATGGATGGATGGATTGATTACAGTTATAGTTAAGAAAGAAAAAAAAAGAAAAAATAAAAGATGGTGGTGAATTGAATAATTTTGCTTTCGAGTTGGCCTGTTCGTAAATTTAATCGTGAAAATGACAAGGCGTCGATGAGGAGAGGAACGAGGAGAAAAGGGACAGTAGTCGGAGACGGTACGGCGATGGGGTTTGGCGAGGAGGAAAGAGGAGGAAAGAGGAGGATGGAGGAGGATGAAGGAGGACGGACGACAGTGGTTGAAAGAATGAAAAACGAACGGTAAAGGTAGTAATAATGAAAAGCTAGCGATCGTCCATAGGACGCCGAATTCTAAAATTCTAAAAC